AAAATTCAAGGATGTATTTCACTCATATTGCTGGATCGAGGGTTTTATTTAATTCAGTTAGTCAAGTAACGGGTATTTGTCTCTAATTCAAGGATGAAACTAATAATTTATACCGAATTAACGAGTATTTTCAATACTTCTCTTAATAATCATCAATAAGCAAGACTAAGAGCGTGGAATCAAATCTAATAGTGACATGACCGCCAATGGTTGTTGACTATAAGTATTCCTTCATCTTTAACCAGAGGTCTCGAGTTCGAGTCTTCTTGGGTATATAGTCGTCTTTATTAGAGATGATTTACCCCTTAATATATCCCGACACAAATTCAAATTTAGTCGGATTTCAATGTGGATATCAGAGACTTAGGGAAAAAAAGAGTAATTTTAGGAATAGCAAAGATAAAAATCATATTAACGCTCTATAGCTACAATTTTGCAATTTGCGCTCCATAGTCAAATTATGTTTGCTATGGAGCATTTGATTTCATAAATCGCAGTGATTTGTATAAAATTTGCAGTGATTCGTATGAAAATTGCGTTTGTATATGTATATGTTCTTTGTGTTAGGCTAGAGTGGCGAGCAAGATTGGAAGAAAGAGGAGAGAGGCGAGCGAGAGAGGGCAGAGATTGGAGAGAAGTGAATTGTATATGTATATCACTTAGATATTGTATATATGCAACTATTATGTATATGTATCAATGACTGTGTTCGTATATCTGCATAAAATTTGAATTCGTATACAATTGAATCGAGTTAAAACATTTGTATCTGTATATCAAATTTCTCTCTCGCTTTATACAAACACAAATTATACATTGTATTTTGTATAATTTGTGTTTGTATAAAACGAGAGAGAGAAAGGCCAAAGAGATCTGGGCAGAGTAAGATTTGTATTTGTATAATTATAAGTGTATAGGACGGAGATATATGTATTTGTATTTGTATATACAATTTCTCTCACTTTATACAAACACAAACACAATTTAACATTTGTGTTTGTATAAAGTGAGAGAGGCGAGAGATGACCGAAAAAAGGAGAGTGTCGAGCGAGATTACAAGGAGAGGGGAGAGAAACGAATAACAAGAAATTTGCTACGAATTGGAATTAAATGAAATTATAGCTATAAGCCTATAATATTTATTTTGAATTAATCACTATTTTCCTAAAAAAAAAATCTAATAATGACCAAAGCAAAATTATCACCAGGGTCTAATCAAAGTTGAACTCTCTATAATTTCAACCAATGAGAATCAAGTATTAAGGGTTCTCAATCCGGCACGCATCCCAAAGTCACATCATAGCCGTCAATCACTTTCAGAAAACACAGTTAACACATTTAATAGCCGTAGATACTGGATTATAAAAGCACACGGATAATCATTCTGAGCCGTCAGATACACTTTAACACACGATCCCCACAATCCCCAAAGCCCTTATATATAATCTTTCACCTGCAAAATCAGCAGAATTTTTCTTCAATCACAAAAGCAAAAGAGGAGAAGAAGAGGAGGAGAAACAATTTTTTCTAAGAGGTAATTTTTATTTTTTATTTTGCTGCATATATTTATGAATTTGTTTTGTTTGTGTGTTTGAAGATCATGATTGATTCTGTCTTTTTTTTTTGGAAATTTTATGGTTAGGGTTTCTGATTATCTCTTGAACCAAATTCTTTTGTGGCAGAAAGCTAGGATTTTGAGGAATGTTGTTGAATATTTAGGGATTTAACTGCTCTTGTAGTTTGATTCGGTGTGTACTGTGTTATTTTAGGGTTTCAGGATAAAAGATCATTCCTTTTTGCTAAAAATAGAATTTCAGTGTTGGAGTCGATACATTGGGTGCAAATTTGAACATATTTATGTGTGGGTGGTGGGGGGGGGGGTTGATTGTCAAAGATTTTTTTTTTTATCCGTCTCTTCTAATAGCTATTGTAGTGAAGCAATCTTAGGTTCTGCAAATTTGTAGAATTTGTATTCCTTGTTAATGATAAGCTTTGAATGGTTGTGTAGTTGCTTCACATTATTGTATTTAGTGTAAAGTTGAAATCTTTCAGTAGGATTTCTTTTTAATTTTAGTGAATTGGTTGGTATGTGTCTTGTATTATTGCAGAATTGAGTTATTTTTGGGTGTTTTCAACTCAAAATTGAGTCTTTTTCTCATGTTATATTTTTGTTCTTATGAGAATTGTGGGTTGTGGTTTTCAGATGGCTCGTACCAAGCAAACTGCTCGCAAGTCTACAGGAGGAAAGGCTCCCAGGAAGCAACTTGCCACTAAGGTGTCTTTTGCGTTTAGTTTTGTTCTTGGTTTTGAACTACTTTTGTATGTATTAGTTTTTAACTTGCTTTGTATGTGTATTAGGCTGCACGTAAGTCTGCTCCTACCACTGGTGGTGTGAAGAAGCCACACAGATACCGACCTGGTACTGTTGCTCTTCGGTAAGTATAGATGGCGTAGTGTAATTCAGTATTGCATATGTTCTCTTTAGTCTTTAAAGTACATCATACTTGAACATGCTATTGTGTGAATGTTGTTGATTGGGATTTTGCATTATGCAGTGAAATCCGTAAGTACCAAAAGAGTACTGAGCTCTTGATCAGGAAGCTTCCATTCCAGAGGCTTGTTCGTGAAATTGCCCAGGACTTCAAGGTAATTTTTCGCTCATTCATTTCTATTTAGTTCTGAATTGGTACTGTTATGTTGATGACAATGGCAGTGGTCCTGAAATCTTGATTGATTCTTCTTTGTGCATTGGTTTGCTTTCAGACTGATTTGCGTTTCCAGAGTCATGCGGTGCTAGCTCTGCAAGAGGCTGCTGAGGCCTACTTGGTGGGTCTCTTTGAGGACACTAACCTTTGTGCCATTCACGCCAAGCGTGTGACAATCATGCCCAAGGACATTCAGCTTGCCAGGCGAATCAGGGGCGAGCGTGCTTAGTTTGATTACTGAAGTAGTAGCTTTGTTTGTCGTATTTTTACTCTTTTCTTGTTAGACAAAGACAATTAATGAAGTCAGTAGTAGGGTAATGTGCTTCTAAGTTTGTTTTGGTAGCTGGAAGCGTGCTGTAATTTTGCTGCCGTTCTGTTTTGGGTAGGTGGAGAATATGTGGTATATTTTGTTTGGATTGTCACACCACTGGTGTTCAACAATGTTCAGTATTTTCATCTTAATGGCTAGTCCAAGTTGTTGTAGATATTATCGATTATATCATGTTCTTCACATAAGTTGGGATGAAGGCTTGTATTTGGTAGTGATAAGTATGGACTTAAGCTTCATCTTTTGTTGCCAGTATTCTGAGATATTTGCATATGTTACTGTGGTGAAAATCAATTGAATTTTATAGAATTTGGTTAGAAGCTGGATTATTTATCTTATCATTCATACCTTAGTGTGATGAGAAGTTATTTCATATATATGGTGGGATAATTGAACTAAGAAATAACTTAATTCTCAACCAAATGATTCTTAAGTGGGTAACTACTCTGTTGGCTCTTTGATAGAGCAACTCTTTAAAATGCTAAAGCAGTATCCTCATTCGAAAAGCAATGAAATCGAACTCTACCATGGTTGCTGTAAGTTAATGGTCAAAACATATGAGGTTTTTATTTCTTTGAGTGTCATGCTCATGCCCTTTATTTGTTCCGACTCTAAAAAAAGACTTTTTTTTAGATACTACGGACCAAAATAAATCCTCTCTAAAAACACACAAGTGTGTTTTGGTTATGGACGAAGTGTCTGTTTTAATCTGTGTTTTTAGAAAGGGTACCTTTTAGTTTTTAGTGTTCAAAAAGCTTCTGTTTTGGGGCTGGACTCCCCTATGCCCAAACTATCCGTCGTTCCCTCAATTCTCACTATTAACTAAATTCAGAGGCGTGAAACTTGCTAAAAAGTGATATTCAGTGTGGTTTTGACCATTATCTTTTTAAACTAACGTACTGCTAGAAGAAAATAATATCGTATACACAATGCTATAAAACATTATGTTCTCGTAAATATCTTCTAGAATGTCAAATCAGCAATTTTTTAATTTTAAAAGTTCCCTCCCTTTTATATTTGTCTCAAATCTTCCTAACAAACCTCCTTCAACTTCGGACTTTGTCAAAAACCAGAATGTTCTCTCCCACAAAAAAAAGAATTCTTACAGGGATTCCAACACATAACACACAAATTTTTTATCTAAATCTTTTGGCCACAATGTTTTGACTCATTTTTATTGGCTCACAATGTTTTTCCTAGTGTCATGTGTGTCTACACTATATATTTATCTTTGAAATCCAGAGGTTTTCTAGGATACAGTTTGTTAAGATTTTTATCTGGTTTCCTTCTTTCTTTTTTCTTGGTTTTTGAGTTTTCATAAGAATAAAGATTTGATCTTTAGAATATTTCTAAAGATTTGTACATTTGGGGTCTATTTATTTTGGACACCAGAAAAAACCCCTTAAAAGTTAGAACCATTTATGCTTTATTTTCTTGTTCTTGAAAGAAATCCCTCATAGGTTGGCCATATATCCAAGGTATAATTTTTTCATCCTTCATATTCTTCTGTTGTTATTTTATCTTGGGGTTTATTGCCGTGGTCGTACTTGGACCTTCTTTCTTACCGTGGTAGTAACATTATTCTCGTAGTTTCTTGTTTTTCGGTTTGTTTTTGTGTTTCCGTTATTGTATTATTTTGTTGTTGTTATTGTTCTTTCCTCTGCTGGACTCGTTTTCACATTATTTTGTTGTTGTTAATGCTCCCATTTATGTATTCCTATTTTCAAACTGTTTGGAAATGCTTTATGTTAAGATAAGAATCTATCAGAAATAACCTCTTTTATCTCGACTAGGTAAGGTAATATGTTGTTGTTGTTTGGATTAGTATATTTGAACATTGGTTTTTCTCTTTTGGAAAGTGACTTTTTGGTGTTATATGGATATTGGCTTTTGTCTAAAACTTTGCAACTTCTCATTATTTGTGATTGTTTTTGCTTGTAGAAATTGATCACCAAATGCTAGATCAAATGGGAAAATTTGAGGAGGAGGTTAGGCAGATGAAAGAGGTAGCTCATGAAGCTCAGGCAATGGATTTAGTATACAATTTCAAGAAAAGGGTTCATGAACTAGAAGCTGAAGTAGCAAATAGACGATTATCGGAGTCTAGAATATTCGATTCATTGGCCTCACAGACAAGGGAATTTGAGCAAACTAAGATTGAACTTGAAGAATCCAAAGTTGAGATATCTTTACTTCATGAAGAGATTGAATCACTAGTGTCTTCATCCGAGCAAAATAACTGGCGTTGTGATGGTTCTTGTAGCGGAAAGATTGCTTTAGAGAAGGAACTCGGATGCCTCAGGTTTGAACTTGGATTAGCGAAGGCGAATTTGGCTATGATCCAAGAAAGAGAGAGGTTTGCTTCATCAAAAGCTAATGCATTGAGTGATGAGATGCATTTGGTTAGAAATGAACTTAAATTTGCAACTTGTGCAGAAGAAAAAAGCCAAAAGGCCTTGGATGATTTAGCGTTAGCGTTGAAAGAAATTGCTGCTGAAGCTTATGAGGCCAAGGAGAAACTTAGTGCTTCTCAATTAGAACTCGAACAAGTAAAAGATGAGGCAGGACAATTGAAACATATGGTTAGAAACGCCGAGGCTAGGTATCAAAAACTTTTGAATGAGGCGAAAAAGGAAACTGAACTACATAGAGAAACATCAGACAGATTAAGGCTGGAGTTTGATGAGTCACGTTTGGCTGAAAATGAGACGAGGTACATAACTTGTATAAAGAAAGCTGAAGAAGAAAACAAGCTAGCTCAGGATGAGGCTGCTACACTCGCGGAGTCTCTTAAAGCAGCTGAGCGTATTACTAGAGCAGCAAAGAGAGAAGTTTACAAATTGAAGGGCATATTGAAACAGGCTATAAATGAAGCTGACGCTGCAAATACTGCTGCTGGCCTAGCTAGAGATGAAAACATTCAACTCAAGGATTCTAAAGCTGAAAAGGAGGAATCAATTCGTCTTCTCACTCAAGAGAACGAACGACTTGGGACTAATGAAGTTGCAGCTCAAGAAAACGTCAAGAAGTTAAAAAGGTTGCTCTCTTCGTCAGCACTCAAAACCAAGGATAAGGAGCAAGAAGAGGAACATAATGTGGATCCCCATATCAAGAAAACTTCCAGCAGTGTAAATTTGCAACAAGAACAAGGAAATTTAGAAGCCAAAATCCAAGATGAGAATCTCAAAAAGGCCAAGGCACTTAAGGACACAATATTTGAGATAAATGAATCACCAAAATCAGAGCTCCATATACCAAAACAAGTATCTCATCATCGGAGAGCATCCTCGTTTGCCTTCTCAGATGATAGAGGAACACTAAAAACAAAAGACTTAAGCATGTCTTTGAGCAAATCTTCGTCATCACTCAACACCAAGGATAAGGAACAAGAAGAGGAACAATATGAGGAACTCCAAGTTCCGAAAAAGCTCAAGTTGCAACAAGAACAAGAAGATTTGAAAGAGAAAATCCAAGATAAGGATCCTGAAAAGGCTGAGACACTTGAGAGGTCAATAATTGAATCACCAAAACCTGAGGCAGATCCCCATACACCAAAAAAGGTTCCTCTTCATCGGATATCATCCTCGTCTTCCTCCTCAGATGATGGAGGATCACTAAAAACAGAAGACTCTGTTAGTGATAGAAGTCTTATCAGGAGGAAAAGAACGTTGTTTCGAAAAGTTGGTGATCTCATAAGGAGGAAAAGTTTTCATAAAACCATCCACTGAATAAGCCTTTGTTCTGTATATACATCTTGAAATTGTATAGTTATTTTCAGCTTTTGAAGTTTTCACTCTACTACACAATGCTTCATTTTTTTTGTATCAGAGAATACAGGAAACTGTGCAGCCTAACAAATATGAGTTTAAGTTCTTCCCATTAATAGTGTAAGTTGTTCGGACTCTTCAAAAATGTTGTCATACTCGTGTCAGATCCTCCAAAAATGCACTACCTTTGAAGGATTTGACACACACTTGATGACAATTTTGAAGAGTCGAGTAACATAGATCAAGTTAAGTAAGGCTAACATAGTTGCCTAAAAAATAAAATACTGTAATAATTTATTATACACAATCAAATTGTATTGATAGCGTAAAATATTTTTTACTTGGTTCTGTTTGTCTGTTGAATCCTTCTACTTACCAGTTTGCCAAATGAACACTTAAACTCGACGAAACACAATATTTTAAACCCTTTTCTCACCTGATTTGTGGAAGTGTAGTACACGCAGCTACACGTGGAACTCCACGTCATTTTTTTAGTGACATATCATAATTTTTCAAAATATTTAATGACACATCATAAATTAATTATTAAAAAAGATAAATAATATTTTTAAAAAGGAACCGTTCCTCCTTTCCCCAATTTCCCACTTCATCATCTTCTCCGTTTCCACTCCTTTATCCACAAAAAAATCGCATTCTACTCCTACCTTTTCCATTGTTTTCAAACACAAAATTCATTAGCCATTAGGTTTACTTGAAGATTTCTTCCATTTATTTTGAATCAATAAATTCAAATGTCAAAGAAATTTCAAATTAAAAAAAGTTTGTTTGTGAATAATCCAAGAAATATAATAGATCTTGAAAATTTTATATAAGAACATAAAAATGAAGAATGGATTAATCAGATGTATATTTTAAAGTAAATTTTGCTAATAAAAAAGTTCTTGGTAATGGCAACAGTGATGGAGGGTGTTGATCGAAGAAGACGATGAAAAAAGAAAATAGAATGAGGTGGGTACTTAAAAAAAAGAATAGTGGATGAGTGGGTGAGTACTCAACTGAAGAAGAAGAAAAGACAAGGGGTGGGCTGAGGGGACCGTAGACGAAGTAAGAAGGGGTGGGTGGGGCCGGAGAAGAAGAAGAAATTATTTTTGTTTTTTTTAAAATAAAATATTACTATTATTTTCTTGTGTAATTTAATATTTTAAAAAGGATAAATATACCTCTGAACTAACGTAAATGGTATCTAAATACCCTTCATTATACTTTTAGGACACTGATGACCTTACCGTCCAAATTTTGGGTTGTATATACCCTTTGATTTAACGGAGAGACACGTGTCATAATCTTAATGGTCTATACAAAATTTATTTTATTTTTTATACTTAATTAAAAAGCCCACCCAAAAACCCACCAGATAATTATAACCCGAGAAAAAAACCCCAAAAGACCCAATTCCAAATAAACTCCATTTTTCTTTTCTTCATTGTTCCATCAACCAACAGCAACCAATTACCACACCCACGCCGAAACTTCAAGACACCACCGCGACTCATCTTTTCCGACGAAGCTCCACAAACCAAATCACTTCTAATTGCTACTAAACTCAGCCTCCCTCGCTCCGGCGAAATCAGCGATGCAGCGACCCTTCGGCCACCATAAAACTTGACCATCTTGAACCTGTCTCTCCTTCATCACTGTCCCAGTAGCACCGACGAACAGAACCAACAAACTTCAAATGGATTTATAATCACAAAAGTTATATCCTTTTTTTGTGCCTTAGTGAATTTTGAATTTATAAACAATTGGGTGTTGTCGATTTTTAGTAGTTGGTGATGATTTAGTAATCAAAACCTCTCACTAATACCTCACGAGTTCAAAATAAATCGATAAGTCTATTTGTCATTTCTCCCATCTTCCCCTTATCCTTCTCGAAATCAAACATACAATTATTGTCTCACTTTTGTGCTACCTTCATCAGGTTTATCGATTACACAAGAAAAGAACATATATACTTAGGGATTTTTCGATTATAATATGGGTGTGGGTCGTTTTGTTTGTGGAGCTTCCGCTAGAGAAAAATGGTGTGGTGGAGTTTCTGTGTTGATCTATTTCTTGGGGGTGTTTGGATGGTGGAACAATGAAGAAAGGGAAAATGGGTTTATTTGGGTATGAGTCTTTTTTTTTTTTTTTTTTTTTTTGGGTTATACTTATCTAGGTGGGTTTTTGGGTGGAACTTTTAAATTATGGATAAAAAATTACTAAATTTTGGATAGGTTGTTAAGATTATGACACGTGTCTCTCCGTTAGTTCAAAGGATATATACAACCCAACATTTGGACGGTAAGGGCATTAGTGTCCTAAAAGTATAACGAAGGATATTTAAATATCATGTACGATAATTTGGAGATATATTTGTCCTTTTTCCCTTTTAAAAATAAAAATATTGTAGTCCTTTGCTGCAAAACGTGTGTAATCACGCAATTATCCAACTCATCCATTTTTATGTCACATAAGTTTGGTCAATAGTCAAAGAGGTTCAAAAAATAGAGTTTCATCGAGTTTAAGTACTCATTTGGCAAAGTAATGAGTAAAAGGGTTCAACTGACAAACGCAACCAAGTACATGGGTCTCCTAGGTCATTCCACCTATTCTTTATACTATGAGTATGTATGACTTAAAAGTTTAAATCCTTTTGATAACTATCATGGCAACAAAAAATATTTTAACAACAAGCTATGACGGAGTCAACAAAACTGTACGTACACTCTATCCTCTTCATACCCCACAAATCTGAAAACTAGATGTATCTATCAAGCACAACAAGAATTAATATAAAAAAATATTTACTAATAATAATAAAATGACCAAAATTGCTTTAACTCCAAATTCAAAATTAGAAAGGCCCAATCAAGTAATATTCTCTACATATACCGGAAATGTGACCATGGAAAATTTCTGTTCATCTCGAGATTCCGATCTGTTGGTGGCGAGAGAGCAGTTCCGAGGCTGAGGTCGAGGTTGGATCTCAATTCACTGCCCTGAAATAGGTCAGAAAATTTCTCTCTGTTGTTAATTTCAATTTTTTTCGAATAAAAAAAGTGATTTTCCGAGATAATAACTATATCTGATAAATCAACATTATGAATCTTTGAATTCAAGCAGTCATTCAATGCTAATAGATTCTGTTAGAAACCATGCTTTAAGGACTCTCTTGTTTGTGCCTAAAATTAGGGTTTAAGCTGCTAATTTAAATTAAATGGACTTGTATTGATGATTTAGGCTGAGTTTTGGTTATGTCTATCGTATCCACCGTATATAAAAATGAATTTTCTCCAACACTATTAAGCAGGATAGAGTTTAGCTTAACTTGCAGTTCATGACACAATGAAACATCAAATGAAATTGAGGATTTGTCATTAATGTCTTTTAGCCAAAACATAGAGTTCATCAGAGCTATGTCTTGAGTTTGGATTCATAAAAAAAAAAACGTGATAATAGTATCACTTATCAATTAATATCTAACTTTGCTCAGGAAACCAATGGGACTTCTCAGCATTATTCGAAAGATGAAGCGAAATGAAAAGAAAATGCGGATCCTTATGGTGCAAGTCCACAAGCTAATTCTGTTTACATAGCATATTGATTAATTCTGTTTATTCTGTAGGGGTCTTGACAACTCTGGTAAGACAACAATAGTTTTAAAAATAAATGGGGAAGACACGAGTGTCATCAGTCCAACTCTTGGCTTCAACATCAAAACCATCGCGTATGAGAAGTATGGTTTCTCTGTTTTTGTTTCTCAGATTGCATGTTGCTGTCCTGTCCTGTTTCAATAATGTGTTTGTTCTTGTTTATTGTTGTTATTACTCTGTTAATTAACTCTAACCTGCATATCCAAGATGTATTTTGTCAGGCAATGTTCATGTGGTTGGATGAATATTTAGATTGTTTTATTCCAAACGATCAAAATTGAGTCATTTAAAGATATTTTTACCTTTTGAATCGTCTTCTAAGGCTTTGGTTTAGCCTATCAATGAATCGACTATGTTTTAATGCAAAATAAGTTGGGATATTGTTAGCCTGTTTTTACTCTGTCATCAACCTACCACACCCTCCTTTCTTCAGGTATATGCTCTATATATGGGATGTCGGGGGGCAGAAAACAATACGATCTTATTGGAGAAACTACTTTGAGCAAACCGATGGCTTGGTGTGGGTTGTGGATAGTTCTGATTTGAGAAGGCTAGATGACTGCAGATACGAGCTACATAATCTTCTGAAGGAGGAGGTATATATATAAAATCATATTGCTTCTCTTTTCTGTTGCTGAACTTCATGTGTGACCGTCATGTTAATAAGTTTTGGATAAAATAATAATCCTTGTTATTGGCTTATTCCTTTTGTTGAATAATGTGTGCATTGCAGACTTCAAAAACTCTTTCTTTCTGTGTCTGTAATAAATAGCCTATGTGTCCCAAAACAAAAGAGAATGTGTGATGCCTATTCACCTTTTCAGTAGATGAGATGATTTTTTCTTCACAATTCCTTTCTCTTTGGCAGAGGCTATCAAGAGCATCATTATTGATTTTTGCAAATAAGCAGGACATACAAGGCGCGCTTTCTCCAGATGAAATTGCCAATGTAAGGATGCTCCTTATTATACCTTAAAACTGTGTTGAAGGTACATTTAAGTGAACTTCTTACACTGGGAACTAGTAAGGATAAGCACAAGCTGTTGTACTCATTCTGTAGCCAAGTATGTTTGCATTGGTAAATATGATTTGTATACGGTTGGAAATCTGAAGATCCAAATATGAAAATCAAAAGCAAAGCTATATTCTAGTGGTGGTTGAGAAAGAAAGTATTGTCAAATTACTCGGGTTTTTTTGCTTGTGTATGGCCAATTATTCACAGAGGGAAAACAATTTCTTTTTTCTGATTCTTAGGTGCTTAATCTGTAGGCTATGGACAATAGCCGGCGTGCATACACAGGAGAAGGCCTACTTGAAGGATTTGATTAGCTGGTACAAGACGTTGCATCACGAATCTATATGCTTGATTAATTACAAGTTTTGCATTTACTATTTCGAATATATTTTTCGGAGCAATGTACTTGCTGGCTGCTCATCTGTGGACTGACCATATGTGAGGCAAATTATTTTCCCAATATGATGCAAAGAGTCTATGTTATCCACTCCTTGAGCCAATATACATAATACTTGCATTTAGATATCAATACAACTACATAAATTCATTCAGTTCAAATTGAATTGTTAACTCGGAACATTGAAATAATCGATTAGAAGAAGACTTAGCCAGAGGCTTTCGCTTGTAACCCATGCATGAATTGTGTAACACGTACATGTATCAGTCTTCTGAAGTTGTGTTACACAATTCATGCATGGGTTACAAGAAAATCATACAATCCAGAATAATTCAACAGAGCTGATCACAATAGAGAAGGTCATTCTCTAGTTCTTCATTCTTCAACCAAAAGTAAGTAAATTCCTAAACACACGCAGGCTCGATTGAACTTTCATATATTGCATATAACATGTTATTCACATTCTATTCCCCTACCATCCTTCACTACAATAATAAAAAATTATGAACCAAACTCCATCTTCTGTACAATAATATGAATAACAGTTATACTAATTCATAAACTCGGTTTCATCTGATAGCATTTACAGATGATTCTGAGTAGACTTTACATCAGATGATAAAATCACTGTGTTTAGTAAACAGTGCAACAACTACACTATTGACGGATTGATTCCAAGATTTGACACACAATGCATACATTAAGATAATAAACAAATCATCGAGGTTACTTCAGAAATGGTGAAAACAAAAGGCATACATTTGGCAGTTAGAAAACCTTTTTGCTCTTAATTCCCACTTCTGTATTTCATCATTTCCCAATTCGGCACAGATTTGTGCAGTAACTACTCACACAATTAGATTGTACTATATCAACTTCACAATATTCAACTTCAGAGAGCAATGCGTTTATATCAAAAACTAGACGTGAATGACAGATACCAAACCTAATTACCTAATCAACGTGTTGCATTCAATCCCAGTAGCATGTTCTGTTTGGGCAAGTAAGACACATTGGGAGTCTTAGCTAAGGTCGAAGCAATCTCCCTCGAAGCCTCGATCCTCCTAAGCTCAATCAAACCCATACCAGCAGCTGCAGTTGCATCAGAAATCAACTTAGCAGACTCACTTTCTCCTTCAGCCCTAATAATTGCAGCCCTCCGCTCTTGCTCAGCCTTCATCACAACAAACTTTGACCGCTCTGCCTCCTGCTGGGCAACCTGCTTCTTTTCCACAGCCTTAGAGAATTCAGCACCATATGATAAATGTGTTATCGCCACATCATCAAGCTCAATGTCGAAATCCTTTGCACGACGAATCAAACTTTCACGAACTAATGCAGACACCTGTGGACGCTCAGTGAGTAGCTGATCCGCGTTGAATTGTGCCACGACAGATTTGAGAACTTCATTGCCGATGGAAGGAAGGACCTTCTCATCATACTGTAATAGTAAAATGAAAACATTAATCCTATATACACTAGCATACAAAATACAAAAAGTTATATATTAGATACAAAACCTTTATATGCAATAGTAACATACATTATACAGTGTTTATAAACAAAATATGCGAATTCAGTACCTCGAGACCCAGGGTTTTGAAGATCTTTGGAAGACGCGAAACTTCTGGGCGAGAGAGAACACGGAGGGTAAGATGGACCATCTGGAGATCTTTTGTACCGGAGAAAGAGGAGAACGTGTGAGGTTTTGTGCGGATATCGAAGATGAAGGGTTTTTGAACCCATGGGACTAAGAAATGAGTCCCTTCACCAACAACATCGTCGATGATTCCTTTGAAGCGGTCGAAAAGTACGGCTCGTTGGCCGCCGTCAACAGTGTACAAGGAGGAGTTGAGAGCTGCTGCTCCGGCGCCGATCCCAGCTGCGCCTATTGCAAGATATTTGAGAAACGATAATGCTGCTTGATTGCTACCCATTTTTACAGAGAGTTAGGGTTTTGGTAAAATGAATTGGAGGAGAAGAAGGGGTTTATGGTGGAAGAAATATGGAGTGTTCTTCAAGAAAAACCCAAAACCTCGAAACGGGTAAGCAGATTAATACGGGTCGGATTAGTCGTATGCCCAACAATTTACATAGGGCCTCAAAAAGGAAAACGTAGGCCTTGGATTATTTTAGGGCATTTTACAGAAATTACATACATTTTGGGCTAATTACATTATATCTCGAAAGTTTCTTCAATTACAAAAGTTTTGAATTTTTAATTGCTCTTGAATACATTTCTTGATTATCCGATACATTACTTAATGAGAAATATGTATATGAGAGGGGATAGAGATGTATCTGAGATGGGATATGGATGTATCCGGGAGAGGATTTTCGTAATTTTAAAAATGGTATGGAATATTAGAGATTATGATATCTTAAATTGTGTATTTATGTAATTTTTCCATTATTTTCAGTGGAACTTATAAAAAAACTCAATATTTAAATGTTAATTATTTAGATATATGCTAGTTTGTAATATTACGAATCTTATCAATTTTTGGTGAGCCAGATACATGTATCTCGAGATACATGAGATTAAAATTAGGTATAATTTATTGTAGATACACTATATCCAAGTGGTTTCAATATATTTGGGATATATAGATAAATCTCGCTCGCCTCCCTCCCATTTCACTCACAACTCTTCTATCTCGATCGCGTAGTGTGATTCACATGTATCTGGGATACATCAATAAATCTCGCTCGCCTCCCTTCTGTTCTCGTTCGCCTCTCTCTATTTCAGCGTATCTTGTAGCAAAAAATATGTGTTAGGTGTACATGATTTGAATTTTAATATGAAATTATTAATTAGTGAGATAAAATATGATTATTTAAAACTATAGGGAGAATTAGTAAATATGATAGGCATGTTTGTGTAGTTAGTTAGTTTATAGATATTTTAATGGGTAGATTTCATAAATATTACAATAAAGTAGTTTAATTTACATTAAATATAACCATCTTTTCATTTATACAAAAAATAGTTTAAAAATTAGCACTATAATGTGGGAGACTTGAGAGGGAATCCAGCCTCCATCTACTTTTCAGGCATGACCGCATGAGATTGTCACATGACATTTGCCTAGTGCGGTAATTTACACGGAGATCATTTTTATTCAATCTCAATCAACTTAAATCTCTTCTAAATAATTTTAAAATTTAGATATAAACTTCTCTAAATATTTCGAGTCTTTAAATATATATTATTCGAAAAAAAGTGTAAATTGTACTTCCCTTGCAATTGAAAAGATGATAATGGGCAATTTTGAGAAAGAATTTGTGACCAAAGGGTTATTTTGCTTAATTGTCCCATTATTTTTCAAAGTGGGCCTTTGCCCACATTTCGAACCCAATCATCTAAAACCCAGCCTAAACCTTCTTCAATTCAGTTTCTGTCAACTCCCTTCACTCTTTTTTTCCCTTTGCCACCATCTCAGATTCTCAGTTCTGAGAGGGATTTTTCAGTATTCGAATTTGCAGCAGCGAGGGGAAAAATGGGTGGCAGAGGAAGGTCAAGAACTCAGAGAAAGCACTTCGCTCAAAGCAGAGAAAACAACTGGAAATACACCAAAAATGATCCCGAGCAGCAACAAAATGGTACCGCTGATAATAATAACAATAGAGAAAACAGTAATCCCAGTTGGAAACCCTTTGTCACCCAAAATATTGCCTTTGAAGAATATTACAAGGTACTCCCTTATTTGTGAAATTTATGTGCACTTTATGCTTCTCCTGATTTAAACTATGTGAACTTGATCAATATTGACATAAGAAGAGTTGCATGTCTTTGTAGTACTTGATGTATAGTTTTGGATATCTGAGTTTTAATTTTAAGATATTGAGTTGATCTTATACAATTTAGCTTCGAAGATTAGTTAAATTTACCCTTGATAAGCAGAAAGTGTCACATAAATTGGGATAGAGAGAGTGTTGAAGTATGATGGAAACTTAAGCTCGATAGAATATTAGGAAAACAACATATTAAGGTTGGATATTTGAATAATTTAATGTATTTGAATTCTGGGGAGTTGTGAAATTTGTGTAGAAATGGATTAGTTTTAAAATCTTTTGAGACAACCAAAATGGAACTATTGCTGTATAAATAAGTGTGATATGGTATAAATTGAGATGGAGTAAGTGATCTTTTTCTATTTGTTTTTCGTATACATGCAATGAGTATATACAAATTTATGGACTTGGGTGATAGTATGTGCATGACTGTATAGGAGCAAGGGATTGTGCCACCAGAAGAATGGAATACTTTTATGGACTGTCTTCGAAGTGAATTGCCTGCTGCTTTCAGGATCAATTCAAGGTCTGTGTCTTTTCATTATCATTTGATAACTTTTCTGTTTATTGTACATGTTTTATTTCTTTCTTTCTGTATGTTATTTGATTTACATTACCTGAGCTGGGGGTCTTTCGGAAACAACTTCTCTACCTTCGTAAGGTAGGAGTATGGTCTGCGTGACTCTACCCTACCAAAACCCCATCTTGTGTGACTACACTAGATATATTGTTGTTGTTATTAACCTTTTTGTTTATTAGATAGACAAATAATTATATAACCTAATGAAGATGTTCCACATCATATAAATCTTATTTCTGCATTGAGAAGTGTGATCTGAAAAGGACAATGTACATTGCATTTGTCTTCATGTGTTCTCTTTGCTCATGCAGAGCAAACCTTTACTCTTTTATGCTTATTTGGATTTTAGCAAGACTGGACTTTGCATCCTTATATGTGGACACAGGCTAAGTCTGCTATGTGTTAAAAAAGTGTACGAAAATTTGTTGTTTTGAGCAACTGTCTACAATTATAACAACAACACATCCAGTGTAATCTCATAAGTGGGGTGTGGGGAGGGTAGGATGTACACATACTTTACTCGTACCTTTGTGGGATAGAGAGGTTGTTTCCGATATACCTCAGCACAATGACGCATTACCAAAACAGGCTAGAAAAGAAAAAAATAATGGCAACAAAGTGGCAAGTTAAACACAACCAATGAAGCAACAAGTAACAAATAAAAGATGAGTAAAAGATACTACACAATTATTAAATAATAATACTACTACTAAGGTGAAGAGAAGCCTAGCCCCCTATCTTCCACATAAAGGTGCTACAACACTCGGCTACCTACCAACATTCTACCTTAATATTTGACCTCCAAATCTTCCTATCAAGGGTCATGTCCTTAGTGATTTGGAGTGTGTCATGTCCTGCTGACACCCAAGTTCTTCTTCAAGCACTAGCTCAAGATGGTAATCACCGGGTGGGTGCGAATTCTTTTAGCCGGTGATCTTGAATAATTTGAGCTATGAATTGATCCCGCATTCCATCTTCTTCTCTAAAATGAATTTCTTTTTCAGGTTTGTTTGCGGTTAGAGTTCCTTTGTTATCAACTCTTGAGATGACCAAATTTGAGCTAATTTCTTACGTATTCATCATTGTGTTGTTAATGTTGCAGTAGCCAATGCTACTTGGAAATTCAAGCGAAGTTGGAGAATGATTTTATGAAATCTCTGCAAGAAGAGGTTCATCAGCTGATTATGATTACTTTTACTTACTGAATTATGAATTCTCTGCACTCTGTATGCAGCTTCTAGCTCAGAGCCCTGCTATTCAATAATATTTCCTAATTGGGTTTGTGATTCAGGGGACAGATGGGAGTGAGGTTGTGGCAATAAGACCATTACCTTGGTATCCAGAGAATCTTGCCTGGCAATCAACTTTTTCTCGCAAGCAGTTGAGGAAAAACAAAATACTTGAGAGGTTAGAGATCCAGTTTCTGCTTATGCTGTAACTTTTGAATATTGTGAAATAATTTTTTATCTGAAAAAAGATCATACCTAATCTATCGCAGATAATACTCATCCATCCCAATTGATGTGTGATTTTGGACTGTTCATGAAGTTTGAAGAGAGAAAGACTTTTGAAACTTTTGGTCTAAAGCAAGCCAAACATTTTTCTGCTATAAAACATCTCACTTAGAGTACCATGAGAAGTTTAAAGTTTAATTGTTCCTAAATATAGAAAGATGTTTTTCTTTTGGGACAAACTAAAAAGGAAAGTATGCCACATAGAATAGGGACATAGGGAGTAATAAGTATCGCTTTTTGGAAAAGACACTCCAAGCTTTCAATCCTTGCTATGAGCCAATAATCTATTTGACCTTTTGAATACATGAACATCAGTTCAAATGGTTGTTGACAGTGGTGCTAAGCTCGAGTCTGAAACAAGTTCAACCTTTTGAGCTTCCTTAACTCCTTTCTCTCTGCTGGTCTCACATGTAGGACTGAAAAAAATATCTTTTTTCCCCTTTTTCTCTGTGTAAAGCATCTCTGTAGTACTGCTGATTTTTTTTCCCAATTGAGTTAATTTATAATTTTCTATTATATACTTTTTGATAATTTGCATCAGATGATTGTGACATGAATATAATTGTGATCTAAGATTTGAGAATAATATCACAAATCATGATTGAACTCCAAAATTCCATTTGTTGGGCATTTTTGATCTAGATATGAATGAAAATGTGATCCCCAACTTCAAGGGAACTGATAAATTTAAACCTACATATTCTTTGCATCTTATTCCACTTATCATCAAATGTTTTAGATGCAACTTGGTTTGCAACTTCTAGAATAGTTGATTGTTTCTTGCCACACTTCTAAGGTATGATGCAAATAATATTTGGGCATGTGTGTTGGTGTTTCCATGAGTTGTTCAAAAACTAGAGAAGGCTTCTGATTTCGCTTGATGGTTTCAACGAAGTATTTGGAAATGAAATCTTGCTTATCAATTATCTTTCGAAAAGAAAGTCTTGTTCATCAATCAAACATTTGAGTGTATTTTGTTATAGGAAGAGGGTTTTCCATAAGGTAGTGTACCAAAAGAAATCCTTAGTATGTACTAGAGAGGAAAGTTCATCTCAAATACATAAATTCCCTAAAGGATATGTTTGAAGGAGATGTCAAAATGTAAGAA